TTATATGGCTTGAATGTTGATAGTTTCCAATCGCCTGGAAACAAAAGAGCTTGCAGAACATTTCACGGATTTTAAATAAAATTCTTTCTCTTATGAAAAAATATGAAAACGTCGCTTCGGGTTGGAAAGAACCTGCTATATTTTGAAACACTTCTAAAATTACACCTCGAGGGGTAGCAAACTTTCGCGACGGTAGCATGGTTTCCTTTCGTTCGGGAGCCCCGGTTCTCACACATCGGCACGCACAGAAATTTCCTCGACGGAACGACCCTCGACACCGACCCAGCCCACTTCAATCGAAACCCACTGAGTACACAAACCTCGTTCCTGAGGTAGACGGGCTCCTACCTTGCCACGGCAGCTGAGATAATGGGAAGGAAATCAGTTCATTTCTATGTTGATCCTACGGGCTTGGTTCCTGTCGCGCTTAGAAGACCGCCACGATTGCCTCGGTGATCGAGAAAATCGAGCCGGAAAATCGACTTGATGGCTCGGCTCATCGAGCAACTTAACTAGCTCCGGCTAGTCTATAATATTCCTACTACGCGTGGAAAAAGGTACGCCATTAGAAAATTGCCAATTTATCCAAACATCTTCAACGCTTTTCAAAAATTTTAACCCCTTGAAATTCCATTCATTTACTTAGTTTTTTAAAATTCGCTTTTGAGAATGTATGCCCAAGAGTTCGTACTCCCAAACATTGGAGTTTGTTGTTCGAATCAAACAAGAATTTTGATAATAAATTTTAATAAATGCTTCGCGTCGAGCAACTGTGTATTCCATTACGATGAGTTTTAACTTTGATTCGTCACTGAATGCAAACGTCACGTGACTCGAAGAATGACAAATGTGGCGACCATGACGATTCCAATTGCTCAGCGCGCGTTAGGATTTATATGGCGAAAAATCGAGGCTGAAAGGACCCCGATGCATCTTATTCCGATGGTGCAGTGATCCGAAAGATCGCGCGTCTAAATGCCAATGAGTCTGTGGCCTAGAAGAGTTTCACTGCGGCGTCCCTGGGGAAGACCTAGCGGCTAGCCGAGCAATTTGTCAACACCATTAGACGAAGGCACCAAGGGTTGACTTTGGCGCATCTGCCAGACTCGATCGCAGAGACCGCGCTATAATAAAGGGGTAGTTAATGACTACGGAGGGGGGCAGGATCGAAAAGCCAGAGCAGCCCGTATGCCACCCTGTTGACAAAATATTGGGATATTGGCGTTGGTCGAAAGGGATAACAGATTTTCCGAAGGGTTCCCTTTTCCTCGAAATCGAAGCCGGATTTCGACGCTGGACAAACCGTGCTAATAACACCTTGCACTGATAGGGCATGTAAGCTTATTAAAAATTTCTCGACATATTTGTTCCTTGCGTTTCTTAAAGGAAAAATCGTTGGTAATCGAACACCCCTGGCCCTCTAAAATCAGTGACTCGATATCGTTTATTAATCACGCACGAGAGTCAACGAGTTTCTACTTTTCTGAAAGTAAATGAAGATTATTCCGGAGGATCGTCTTACAGTCGTTAAACAGAACATCCGGGTAGCTGGCGTCGGTCGACGCAAATCCCAATTCACTTAACCGATCAACGCGGCCCGGCGCACCGAATTCGAGTCGAATTAATCGGATGAGCCCAGGCACGAGGAGGTGGGTGGTGGTACGATCGGGCGAACGCGTAACGGAGAAAAGTCCGCGATTTTCGTAAAGAGCGGAACCGAAGTACCTGCGGCGTGGAAGTGGGAGCTACTGGCTCCGGGACTGAAACTGAAACGGGGATAGGTGGGATGCCATTGGAATAAGATCGGGTTTAGCCGCAGTGTCGGGTTCGAGCCCCGGATAAGTCTGCCTTATCCCGATAAGCCGGTGAGTTAATGAATCACAAAACAGGTGGTGGCGCCACTGAGAGATCGTCTTCGTCCTCGACTTCGCTGTACGTGCAGCTGAATTCTTCCACGGTCGATGAAATAAACGACTCTCTCTTTATTCGTTTTCTTTTGCCGCGTAGCACCGACGACTGATACCGGAATTTGGCTTCAATGTTTGTTCACGCACTGTTTGTCTCGTTCTTTATCTCGGGCCCGACGCATCGCTCGTCCCGTTAACGGTGTGTTTTACTCTTAAATGACAAAATCGGGTCGCGACGGACTAATGGTGCCACGGGAGACGATAAGCGCCAAACTTCCACTGGAATTTTCTGTTTCGTCGATTCCGTCGTTTAAATATTTTTATTTATCGTGCTTGTTGATATTTAGTGGCGCGGTAGAGATACTGATAGTGTTTAATACCTTGTAATCGTACGAAAGTACGTTTAAATAATTTGCAATGTCTATTAATCGACGTTTCATTACGGAGAAAAGGATATTGCAGTACAAATTCTGAATTTTCTCACGCGTTTAAGAAACTCTTACTATCAAGATAACTAAGATAGGTGAGCTAGCTCGTGAAATACTATTTTTTAAACATCGTACCCTTACACCTTTCCATGCAGAATACTCCAAAGAATTGATACGCAAAAGAGAAATATGCAAAATTGACAATAATATTTTACCAATAAGTATTCGTATTACTATATTATCGTTCAGGTCACATTTAAAGCAAAAATCTGTCACTTTCGTTGCACTTAACACAGAATTAGTTTGCTCGGTTAATATTTAAAATCATTAATCGTCGATTTCTCCGAGAAGAATATTTCAACAGCCGCTCAATTAAACGAGAAGAAAATGCGCTGATACGGTCAGCCGAACGAGAGATCCGCTCGATTTATCGAATAGTTTTAATCCGTTTTCGGCGGTAGCTAATTCTCCGATCGCATTAACACGGAACGGGTCCGAAATTTTATTCGTCATGTCGTATCAGAGCTGGAATAACACGATGGGCGCGGTGCTTATCAAAGCTATTCGTACTAATGTTTTATCTGTACACGGCTGGCACCTGACAAGCACCGACGTACTATGTTGCTTCATCGCACGAAAATGTTCACTGATATTGCAACAAAAATGTCATGCAACGTTTATATCGAGCACCGTTAATTTAGTTCAAAATACATCGGCGTCGAACGAATCGAGAATTTGATTTTCGACGCCCTATTAATTCGAATCGAAATTGAAATTTATTGTATCCTTCGGACATATTCAGGCTTGGAAAATTCATAAGATCTTAACGAAGTAGAAAATAACGCAGCTGAAGTTTCTCGAATTCTATTCTAATACTGTATCTATTTTTTATTATCGTGTTACGGTCAAGATTCTGAAATTTTATAGTAGTCGAGAAGGAATATGCAAACAATGGCAAGCGCTTGGAACAAAGCAGAATAGTATCAATTCCGCTTGGCGGGCGTCATGGTTGCTGCGTCAAACGATACGAGATTTTCTGAAAAGATGAACGATAACGCGAACGACGCAGTGCACGATTTGGGAACAGGAATGCGACGTGTATTTGTCGCTGGAATGAACGAAATCGATGATATCGCAAATAACAAAACCAGATGAATTGACAAGCTCGTACAAGCGATTATCGCGATACCGTGGATACGCGACGAAGGAGAAAGCAACGAGCCTCCTATCGACTCTCGATTGAGACACAAAAGAAAGCAATTATACTTGTGTCACCTTTCTTGACACTCGACTTAATCCCAGTTGTCGAATGCTTAGGTTCTTTTCACTGATTTCCATGTTAAACGAAAGCGTGGTTACGTTTCGACGCTTCGTGTCACAGAATACGAGCGCTTACATCGTTTTAAAATTATTTGTTAATAGCACTGGTTGCTGATAGTAAGAAAATTAATTAACATACTGCTAAAATGTAGTTTGAAAATATTTGGCAACATAGGTATCCGAGGTTAAAGACTACTTATATTTTCATATTCGTTAATTCAATTTTAACTACAGTTACGATTGAATTATATTATAAATTAAAATATTTCCGTTTATGGGAATAAATTATGTTTATGGCGATAAAAATTTATAATCGTGTTTGGACTGAAAATGAACGTTAAAAATATACATTTGTTGTTCTTTCTTTACTCGTGTCGTATAGAATGCGTTATGTAAAGGTAGAGAAATTTATTTGGAAATAATGAACAGTTTGACAGTTAGGGGATTAATGTACGACTAAACCAATGTTTAAACCGAAAGCTGTGTAGTCCTTTTCAGAGTTACAAAGTAAAATACTTCTAAAGCACGAAGTATAATAAGGCATATATACTTCAGTGAGAGTATACGTTAGTTAAAATAAACATTCGTCAGAAAGTAGTCTTCGAGGATCGGTCGAGACCTAACATAGCAACCAAAATTTGATACAGTGAAATAAATATTGTTCTGCAATTTCCCATTATAAATCAGAGAATCATCGACGAACTTCCATTTCTTATTTATATTTGTATGAACCCTGGTAGTAAAAAACTCATTCAATTTTTCTCACAGTATAATTTTGAAAACTCTCAAACTGTATACAATATTGCACATTGGACTTCGTTTGTAGCCAAATAATTATGAAGGGATGTTATTTTCTGGTTTTATAACCTTCACCAACCCGGTTTAACACGGTCACTCCAGCTTGATTCACCAATGGCTGCTGTGCACAACGTATACAGTCTGTAATGCACCAATTGCACTTGTAATTACGACCACGTAAAGAGATTTAGAGTCTCCTATGTTAGTTTTCGACGTTAGAATTCGTACGATTCTACAAGATCGAGTATCAAAGTTCGCGGATTCTATTGCTCGATATAAAAATGTATTAACCCTCTATTGCACGAGTAGTTATCTTTCGAAAAACAAATTATTGCGTCTGTAACAAAAGATTGTGATTGAACCCAGTAAAATGTTCTTCTCGAGCTTGTAGGAACGAATTAATATTCGACGCAAACAATAATTGTGATCTAGTAAACCGTACACCTTTGCGGGGATTGTTTTCATGAGGCTCCCGATCGGTTATGCAATAGAGGGTTAAGGATCAAGTAGGAGGGTCGAACGACCCTCGGTGTTGTGACCGACTCACCACGTTTTAGTTTCTCCAGAGGTTCGTGAAGCAGCTGGTAACTGGAGTTGTGTAACATGGACGCGTCGTGGTGCGGGTTTCCGTAAAGATTGAGATTTTGCATCGGCGCCTGAATGTGTTCGCCCTGGTGTCCGGCCATGGACCCCGTGGCAGACGTGTGCTGATGATGCTGGACCGATAGACCGGTTGTCGATCCCGTAACGAGATCCTGAAGGCACAAATCCGCGTTGCCACCACCGCCTCCGCCCCCGGCAAGTTCGAGGCTCCCCCCGCCCCCGCCGCCCCGCTCCATACTATAGAACAACGCGACGCAGGATCAACCACCGGCCCGCGGCAGGCCAAATTACGCGCGAGATCTCGTCGAACGAGACGTCCTTTCGACTCTTCGTTTCACGGTCGCATCCGCCTGTCGCACACCTGATCGCGAACCTAGTCCTTCCCTCGTTAAACGGTGCTCCTCCACTGGCGATGGCCGTCGGCTGGAGTTCCTTCGTCACCGTCGACGAACGGGCATTCGCTTCCTCGCGTCGGAAACTCAACGATCCCGGTTCCTACGTTTCGTCGATCTCGTTTGGCTAACGACACTGGTGATAACGTCTTCGTCATAGGTTCGGTCGGCCAAAATCTCGTCAGAGTCGAAGCCCGATGATGCGACGCGTACCGTCGCTACGCGTTGGCCAGCGATCGACGCGCGGCGTCCTGCGACTCTTCGTAACGCGCTCCGTTTCGTGACGGGGAAGCCGGTGGATCGCGAAGACTGTTTCCATGGATCGGTCTCGATCGTGGTCGCGACTTTACCGCGAATCCGGCTGTACCGTCGAAGGATCCCGCGAGACACACGCGTGCTCCAACGCTTCGTTACAAGCTACTGATAAACAATCAGGTAACTGCGGATCGACGACGACTGACGGCGCGTTACGTAAGGATTAAGAGACTGCTAGGCGAATAGTGGGAGATTTAGAATCACCCACGATGGAAAGTAGGTTAAATGGCACTGTGGTCGCGATAGGCAGCACTACGGCTCTCTTCGTGTCGAATACGAAGCACTCTCGATCCCGCGAATCCTCTTTTCGTGGCAACGTCAACGATCACCGGACCTTTCCGGTAACTACGGAGCACTTCGAGTCCTCTGGTCGTTGGTCTCCCGTCACTGCACTTGCTCTCCTCCCGTACGTCGATCACAGACAACTTTCGGTGTACATCCCAAGCCTCGAATATCACCACCGAATATACCGCGACACCCGGAATGGCCGACTGCAACGGCCCCGTACGCGACGCTGGTCACTCGAACGCGATGTTTCGCGCGACGGACGACACCAAGGATTTCCCATCCACGCGGTTCACCCCGGCGGCCAGTGTGCACCGGCGTCAAAAGTCACCGCGAGGACCGCGCGACATCGCGATCACCGGTACGTCGATGGTGGACGTGGCGCGACGTCCGCGCTCGATCTTCTTACCTTGACGGCACGCGTCAAGGAACGACGGACAGGCAACGCGGGTGCGAGAGAAAGAGGGACAGACAGAGGAAACGTAAGAAAGGCGTCGGTGGTGCTGCAGGTCGCGGTAGTATAGCCGGTTTTCGTAGTAGATGGAACGTGTAGTGGCCGCGCGTCGGTAGTAGGTGGGTCCGCCAGGCTTAGCCGGTTGAGCCTTTCGGACTGCCTGCCGGCTTAAGTCTCTAAGTCGGTAAGCCGAGCGGATCTAGTGGTCTTGGCTGGTGCACTGGCTGCCTGCTAGCCTGCCTGCCTGCCTTCCTTGCTTGCCGGGCGGCCTGCCTGACTGTCTGACTGCGCCTCTCCCTGGCTCGCTTGCTCTTACTCCCCACCATCCCGCTTCTTCTCTCTTCAGCTCTCCCACTCTGGTCTCTCGTTATCTCCCTCGACGTCTCTCTCCAGCGCCACGATCGCTCGCCCGTTTCATCCCTCCGTTTCCCCATAGAACCGCGTCCTTTTCCCTCGTACGCACGCTCCCCACTTTTAGCGCGCTCCTATTCGTTCTCTCTCTTTTTCCTCTCTCTTTTACGCTACCCCGTGGTATCTCGCCCTCGTCTCACCCTGTCGCGCGATCTCTCACGCCTGCATCTCCTGCTTCATCCCCAGCACCCCCTCGATTGGACCCCTATTCTACCACTACCAGCTACATCCTCCGTCTTCCTCGAGCGCTGACGCGATCTCTCGCACTCGCGTCCCCCTTTTCGTCCCGTCGCGCTTCGAAACAGTCGACGCTCCTCTCCTCGCCCATCCCCACCCCGCGTCCATCGCCCCCCTCCAACGACGTCGACGTTGCCCCTCCTACGTACACATGGACGCGTCTCTCCCCCTCCAACGTCCCAGAGATCGCACGCACCCTGTGTGTTTCCCTTTTCTTTTTTTTTTCTCTCTTTCCTCTTTTACTCTCTTCCGTGCTCGGCGAGCTTCGCCCACCTTCTGATTATTGTTTGCTTCTTCTCGTCGACGTTTGTTGCCTTGGTTCCCCCGTGCGTGAGGCTTAATCTCCAACGATGCGTTCCCGTCGCCGTTTCGTTTTTCTTGGAAATGCAAATAGACACCGGGTTTTTTCTTGCGCGGGTCGAATCGGCCCGATACCGAATCCTTTGTCCCGGCCGACGCGATCCACGATACATCCGATCGTCCCGCGTTTAATAAATCCTTTTACGCGCGACGACCGTGTCGGCCAGTCGTCTCGCGGCGTTGCTCCGTTCGCCGTTTCCGCCATCTTTCTTTATCGCGCGATAAAAATTTTCTATACGGGCTAGAAAATCTTTCGTAAGATATCTACCGCGATTCGAGTCGAGTGCACGCGGTTATCGCTTGTCTTATCTATTGGAGCAAATATCTATCTTCATAGAGAAAGATCGGTTCTCTACTGGGCGTTTCAACCGACACAGAGGTGTGTCGAGCTTTCGATGCACATTTTGGCAAAATGGTGCTCCGAATGCAAAATCGCAATTCCCGGTACACGGATATTTAGTCGCCCAGCTGCTCGCGAAACTGACGAAACTTATCCGAATAAAAATGCATCGTTACGCTCTACTTTAACTCTATACCGTATTAAGTAATAATATATTAGCTTCGTACAAAATTTCGAAAGTGGAAAAATAAGAATTACGTAACTGGTTATTTCTATAATAATATAAAATATGATAATGAAAATTTTAAAACATACTATTTACCTATATAAACAATTTTCCCTTCTTTGTTATAATTCTTCTTACCTGTAAGATAACCAGTTGAAACACTTGTTTGATTTCTTCGGTAATATAAGTTATGAAATTTATATTTATAACAGGAAGTCTAAGTAAAGTTTAACCACGTGTTTTTAATTGTTATTATTATAGGTGAGAGAAATTTTATATATTTTATATTGGAAACAAATTTCTGACTATCCAAATACGTAATTTTTATGTTTCCTATTTCGAAATGTACCAATAATAAATTAGAATTTCTTTTGCCATTTATTAATTAATATCATGGACGTTCTGAATAAGGCTAAAAAGAGTTTTGATCGAATTATACTCGACTCTTTTATACGAGAAAATAAAAATAGAAACGTCAATAATAGTTAATTGTTTGATTTCGATATATTTGGATCAACGACACCATCGAAAACAGCAATAATTATCGTTGCAATTACGAGTAGGCTAATCTGATCACAAAAAATTCCACACATCAAATTCTCCATCTAATTCGGCCATTTCCAAGCAGTCTTTTATCTATTTCTCTTATCGTGTTTCAACTACACGCTTCGGAGTGACCGTACAGTCCAACATACTTGTGAAATAAACACGAACGCCAACCAAACAGCACGAAAATTCTAGAATGCTAAGTATGGAGCACACTTTGGCAGAAAAATTGCGTACGTGGTTGATCGCACGTTGCACTCGATGATTTTTTCATTCTTAAAGGTTACTTCAATAAGATCGCTACCATGCGTCACATACGCATGACGTGTCAATTCACGTGACAGAGTAAAACATCAGCCATTTGTGACAGCGATGATTCTGTATTTTTTTTATCCGTATAAACAAATGACGTAGAGGCTATAAAACCAATGTTATTTTGTATATGAGATTTAAATATTGAACTAACATATTCTTTCTTTTTATTCAACATGTTCCATGGAAATAAATGAAAAAAGCACTTATTTAATACCTGCTCCAACGAAAAAAATAATTTCCTTGTCTGTTCGTTTATTATTAATGTTCGTGTATTTATATGCAGGGCATTAAATAAAATTATGTGTTACAAATCGAATGGTGGTAGCAGATGTGTAAATAAAAATCAGAAGCAGTTAGAAAACCTACTAACCACAGTAAAACGTTTCCTATATCATAATATAAATTGTAAAATATATGTTTTCAGTACAATACGATTCATTCCTTGTGTTTTATACTCTGTTGCTCCGTTCTCTGTAACAACATAAACGTCGAACAGCGAATAAGTAATATTTCAACACGGAACAGCTGAAAGCTATCTCCGTGTATCAAAGGTAACGATTTGGGCTGACGAGGATTCGTTTGGAAGCTGAAAAAATCGGAACAAGATGAATATTTCATTCTGAAAATATCAAATGTACGATAAATTCCTTTTATTTTTGCCATCGTAAAGGATTAGCCTTTTGTAATAAATTGCACTTCAAGCTAAAAAGTTAATTTTACAACGTGTAAATTCTAAAACGATCTTATTCGAAACTTTATGTAACCCATACGATAGCGAGAAAAGAACTTTGGTGGATAATTTAAAAGTTCAAAGTGTAATAAATGAGACTTTGACATTAAACGGTAGTATTTTGTTTTCCGACGGGTTGCAACATTTCTTTCCCGACTATTCGAGTAGAGGAAACTCTCGTAGAATTACGCTTCTGCTAGTAAAATTATAAATAATTGTAATAGCATTGATATACTTTTCTACCAAAATAATGGAAGTTTTTCCATGCATATTTTTCACTCGTAACTTATATTATCGTTAGTATAATTTCGAAAGTGAAATCAAAATAGCAGATAGAGCACAGGTGTTGAAATCACGCACGTATTGATTAACTTTAAATGAATTTACGTAAATATTTCCACTTGAGTATAGGTTATCTTCAGATATAAACAATAACATGTTAGACGTGCGAAAAGAAATATTTGTAGCCTTGTTTCTTTCGAAAGGAAAAGGAGAAATATTGATTTATTAATTAATCAATCATAATTGAGTGCTTCGTGTCTGGCCATCGCGACGAACGGTCCAAAAGTATACAGGTTAGCGATAAATAACACTGGATTATTAAATATTATTTTTTCCTCAAACA